GGAAATTCTATATAAATATTGCGTTCTCAAAATTCGATTATGATTACGACATCCCTCTTCATAGTCGAATTATGAAAACATGGAAAATAAAAAATATGGTAGCAAAAGATTGGTCTAGGATCATGTCCTTATGTGAGATATCATGAATTCTATCCCATATGCTTCGGATATATGATCGATTTCATGTTCTAATATTTATCCTTTCTAAATTTTCAAAATGTCTAAGGCATTAAGGGGGGAATATGTCTAGAAATGGATATGGCTAAAATGATTAAGCAATTGTCGAGGACAATCTGAGGTTTACCAAAGATTGGTTGCTCATGGATAGTTGGAATTATGGTGTAAAATTTGGAAGGACCATATTGACATATTCTGAAAAGAGGCAACTCTTGTTCAAAAGTGATAGTCAAAATGAGAATATGGAAATGTTTCCATAGGTGGAAGTTATTCATTAAATCTGTGTAAGATTAGAAAACTTAATTCAAGAAGGATGTTCAAAGGAATATACTTTGAATTTGAGACTTCGTTTCCATGGAGTTGATCTCCATTGGAATACTCTGTAATGTTTGTTGACAAGTCTTTGTGACTTTGTGCATAGTCATTACAAGCGGATCAATGCATATAAGTTTAGAATCTAACAGATTTCGGTAAATGGCAGGAATTTGGAATTCTTACATTTACGATAAGGATTTGGATTGTGAAATGAGCATCATTGGAATCATGTTCAAATTGATCTATTTCACAAAGTAAGGATCATAGACAAATATAGTGTGCATACTTGGAGTGTGGCATAATTATTGTTTGGACAAACATAGTGTGTATGCTTGGCGCATGGCATAACTATTGTTTTAATTCAAGTATAAAGTTGATTATTCGAAACATTATACAATGAATAATGAGTAATCAATATGGTGTTTAAATAAAAGGTGTTTTATTTACTCTTAAAGGTGCTTGGGGCCATATAGGATTAGTATTATTCTTGTGTTTCACTTTACATGTTTTGACTTCTCGAATAACTAGGTTATTCAAACTATCCACAATCAATCATACTTTGGAAGTAGGTATGAGGCAAGACTATCATGAATGGGTCTGTAGTTTGTCTAGGTGGCCTAGACATAGCAGCAGTATTCATGAGTACTCCTGGAATGAGATTCGAGCATTGGATTAAAACCACACTCATTTGACTCACTTCATGGATTTTATCATGAGTGATCATGATACGATAATATCTTATATTCTTCAAACGGAGACGTGCGAGTTGTAGTTGCACGTCAGTTGCACATTGACATATATAAACGCAACTAGTAACTTGGTTGTTACAAAACATATCATTATGTGTAATTTGATGAGTAAGTACAAGCGAACATTTAGGTCGAATTTTATCCATTCCTTTTACCCTTGGAGGGATAAAAAGCGATATATGTGGGTCCCTCGATTATTTAGTGATGACAAATGTAAGTGCTTGGTCGAGCCTGGACTGATTTGATTTGTTCAATTAGTTAGTCATCATAAATCGGAAATTGAGAAACAACAAATGGACAGAGAGAATGATTATAATCCATGTCTCAATCCATATGATATCTAAAATGGAGGAATATATGATCCCTTATCTAATGGAAACGTCATTGACTAGGTCATAGTTCGACAACGGCTTTTAAGAGTTATGATTTCTAGTCGAGATCATGGAGTCATACGCAATAATAGTTTTAGACTTATCCAAGTGGGAGACTATTGGATTATATGTCTAAGCCCATAACTATTATTGGTATGTACTCGACCCGAGAGTAGCATGGTCCATTTGGGTTGCATAACACCATGACAATTTGTTAGGATGGATTCTTGAGAGAGGGTTATATATGATTTATTAATATATTATAAGTTCTAATATATTAATATAAGATCATATGTTTTAATTAGTATTGATCAAGAATTAATTCGGAATTACTTTAGTGATCAAAAGAGACTAATTAAATCTATGGGGACTAATTATGGTAATTAGTTATATTTATATATGTTGGGCTTATGATCCATGTTGGACCAAGTTTATGTATGAATACATAAAGATTTGGCCACCTGAACCATGGATCATAAAACCCATGGATATGGATTTGGGTTATACACATGACCCTTGGAATCCAACATATAAATATGTTAGTTTATGACCAAAACGTGTGCTTCTTTTTCTTAGAGAAATATGGAGGTTTTTGGGTGCATGGAATTCTCTCTCAAGAGTCACCTTTGTTCTAGGTGAGTTGTGATTCCATTTGAGGTGCAACACTTGGGGCACTAACTTCTTAAAGGCCAAAGTCTTTCAAGCAACACCAAATACATCAAGACTTCAAGCCACATAAAATGTATGTTACTCTAACTAGTATCTTGTATTGTGTATGACAAATTGCATGCTAGTTATAGGTTTAATGCCTTGGAAACACTTTTGCATGCATAATTAGTGAAAATATAGATCCAATGTATTTAGGGTTGTATGTGCACCTAGGATGTTGTAGTATACTAAAACCCATCAATACATGTCATTCATGTTTCAATGAAAATCCCAAAAGATCTTAGGAGTTTCATGTGATTGAAATTGGTGAAATGTTTCTACCTATCTAAAATAGTTTCGTGATATGACTACGACATCCATCTTCATATTATGGAATGGAAATATGGATCCTAGCCTTAATTTGAATTTTAGGTTAATAATTAAGGATTAAAATCAACTAACTTGAATTCTCTATTTTCCTACATTTTAGATGTCAAATAAAGATAATAATGGGTTTTCTTGTTCTTTTGGAAATGATTTTCTTCAATCTTCTGGAGATGGTCTTCTACATTCTGATCAATGTTAAAAAGTTTTTCCTTTCTTGGGTAATAGTGCAATTGGACTTTGTCCTCATTCAAATCTTCCATCTCCTCCTACTCCCCATGTGACTCTTCCTACATCATGTTTTCCTTAATTCGAAAGATATGAAACTACTCAAGCCCTATTGGCATGTAAATATGAAGATGGAAATTATGTGTGTACACATGCAAACACAATGTAGGAACTTGTACTAATGTACTAATGATGTATGGACTGATACTATTGTATTAATGATGTAGAAAATAGTACTATTGTATTAACGATGTAGAAGTGGCACTAGTGTACCAATGATGTAGTCACCTAATAGAATATAGATGACAACCACGACAAATATAATGGTGGTCCTTAAGATAGATCTCTATAGATGAATAAAGAAGATAATAGGAATGAGAAATCGGGTTAATTGTTTGGTATAAAATAGATAAACAAATTAACTATATTCTTGTGGTTGAAAACCCTATGTACTCACCAGGTTTTCCAACTTGACCTACTCAACTTTTTTGAATCATATGAAGCAGTACAAAGATAACGATGTTCGAACCTGATGAGAGATTCAAGGAAATATAAGCCATGGTATAAAAGATGTAAAAGATATTGTAAGACTTGTAATGACTACACTTATGTTTATGATTCTTGTATTAGCTATGAAATTCCAAGTTTTTAATAATCGATGAAAAACATTTATTCATAAATACTTTTGCGGGACCAAATTCCGCTTTTATAAGTAAACCATGTTTTAAAATAAGCATAAATACAAATATCTTTTCTTGCCGAGAAAATTGGAAACGTCGCACAAGTAAAACAACAAAAAACATATCAAATGAAATCAAACTACACACAGATATATATATATATATATATATATATATATATATATATATATATATATATATATATATATATATATATATATATATATATATATATATATATATATATATATATATATATATATATATATATATATATATATATATATCGATTTCATGTTATGTATTACCTATTATTATTATAAAATAGTTGTTAGATAATTATATTGTTAATTTGACATTTCGTGTTAAGTTTTATATTTGACATTGTAACTACTTATCTTAATTATTAAGATCATATTATATTTTGATCTCACATCTTTTACTTTAATTGAAGGTTTAATTCAAGGGTATATGACTTTGAACCATATAACATAGAAATTAGAATCGAAAATTCGAAGCAAGAGCATAACACAGAGCCATAAAAAGGCTCTAACTTCGCTCTTTGACTCGAAAGGGAAACATCAAACCAAGCTTTACAACTTCTTAAATGCAACTCGAAATCGATATGTTCGGACCTTTTGGATACAATTTGTTTCTTAATTTTCACGTTATTGCTTCTATGTTTTACAACAATCATATTCTATATATGATATTGTTTTAAACATATCATCCATATTTTTCTATAACTTGTATATTGTAAATGAAAAAACATTTTTTATGTTTGAAGTTGTAACCATTTAATTTTTGTTTTGGGATTTTTCAATCTTGATTCAGTATAACAATTACAATTTATGGTATGAATACGAGATTTTGATATTGATAACCTTAACACAAACATCTCAACATATTATTTTAATAAACATATATTTATTTTATATGTATTTCATCCTATGTTTTCAAATAGAGAAATTAAATATCTTTTTATTTTTTATTTTTATCAATCTTTCTGCACGTAACGTATCAGGTCCAAAGTTCAAATAAAAATATCAAATTTAACCATAATATATAAGAATTGAAAGATTATTTTACTTGATATCCATGGTTACGATTATAACTAGCACTAGCACTTGATATGCCGAATTTCACATATGGTATATGAATATTTATGTTTTGCGATTTATCCTATATGATTGGCTTAGGCGTGAATTCGGCATTAATCATCTATATGGTGCTACTTATTGTCTTCTTTTCCTTTAATAAAATCAGTAAAATATAGTTTATCCGAAAAAAAATGTTATCAAATAATTGGTTTACAAGATATTATTATTATTTTTGAAAAACAAATTCCTTTTACTTTTTCTTTTCTGTCGATAAATACTTTAAGTTCAATAATATATTGAAAGTTATCTTTTATTTTTTAATATGAATAAAGCATATAGCTAAATTAACTTTAATGGAAAGATGGGGACGGGGGAGTATATATTCTCAACTGAAGCAGTGGATTCACTCTAACACCACCTCCTGTTTCTAACCAGCGGTGTGCCGGTGCCACCATCCTCCGCCGTTAAAGCCCCAGTACTGTCCTTTTTCTATCTCGCAACTCTTAAAACCAACCTCAATTTCCCATTCAACTTCAACGATTTCAACTAACTATTTCATCTTCAACCTACCCCCTGCTTCCAAGTAAGTAATCTCTCTCTTTCTTCAGTACTTCTAGATCTCTGCGTAGATTTCTATTATTTTTCTTATTTATCTGTTGTATTGTTTTAAAAATGGAAGTTGAATCTGTTTTTATGTTTTTGATTCATGAAGTTTCCATTACATGATCTGAACGTCGTTTTTGGGGATGTTTTTATTCTTTGTTCTTCACAATCTGAATTCTTATCTATCGATCTTCCAAAAAAATTGTACTGTAGATTCATAAAATTGAAATGAAAACTGTGGTGATTAAGATCTTTTGCGAACTGCTCATAAGAAATTAGGTTATATAACACTTGGTTCATTCTTCCCCCTTTTCCCCCATATTAAAAGAGGTCGAATAGAAATTGGATGAAAATTTGTATGATTTCTTTTGTCGAAATCGACTAATTTTGATAATTTTTGTGTTGTATTTACAGGTTCAAGCACCAATATGGGTCTCTCACCATACTCAAACCCTTCCGATGCCGGAATCCTATGTATAATTCTGGTGAAAACCGCCATGTCGATATCCTTCATGAAGGAGATCCTTCGTTCCATCCTTAATCTCGTCGGGATTCGTTTCCCGTGGTGGGAGGATGTTTCCGATCAAAGCTTCGTCGAGTCACCGGAATGCCGTGGAACACCATCAACGAGTTACATGGAGGAGTTCAGAAGCCGGACACCAACACTCCGGTACGACTCCCTCCTCTCTTCTCCCCTCACCAAACAAGAATGTTCCGTTTGCTTGATTGAATTCAAACCAGACGCAGAGATAAACCACCTCTCGTGTGGACACGTTTTCCATAAATCATGCCTCGAGAAATGGTTAAAATACTGGAACACCACTTGTCCTCTGTGTCGAAACCACATGATGGCGCCTTTAGAATCCGAAGAAAACACCTGCCCGATGTGATCGTGATATTACGAGATCGAGTTTAGATTTGTTAGGAGTATAGTCAGTTTTGAGTTTTGTACATATTAAACTCCATGGTTTCCGATGTCATATGCATCTGAGAAACGGAAAAGCTTTGTTCCAGTTTGAATTATATATAATAATAATAATAATAATAATAATATATTTGAATGAAAGTACATGTTAGTTTTTTACACATAATGAATCGATAAGAATTTTATCAGCATTCTCTAGGTCGTCTCGATTTCTTCATGTTGGTGGTTGTGTTTCCTAAATCTGAAAGGTTTGAACCGACGGAGGCAGTTTTCCGGTAGGCTAATTCAGAAAGGTTGGAGCCGACTGAGACACTGTTCCGGTGGTAGCGACACCTGAAGGAGCCAGGGTGGTTGGTCGGAGCACACAGACAACTGATCTTCATGGCGGAGGATTTTCTGGCACGTGGAGAAGATGGATTGGATGATAATGCTTCGATTCTTGCGTTGTTCATGTCATCTTCTAGAGATAGTTCCTGTAGATCAGTCTTGGGTTGTTTTGGTGGTGGCTTTGACATATCTTCACCGGAAGAATCTTGTGTGTTTAAAGATTCGAACACAGGTTTACTCGTATCTAGAAGAACATCGGATGAAACAAATAGGATCTGAATCGATTCATTGGAAAAAAACAAAAAACAAAAAGAAAAAGAGGAAGTTCATGAGAGTTTGTTTACCTTTTTTGATAATGGCAGGAGCTTGATTGTCTATCCACTTTTTCTTGTTAATGGATATGATGACGATAGAGAAGATAACTATGAAGATGAAAAGGACGAACATCTTTTGGGAGCCTTTGATTTCCTCAAACATACAATTCCCCCTATCTTTCCTTTTTTTGTTGAGATTCTATGGTGACTATAATCCCTCTTTCCTACACCTCAAATTTTGGGAATTTTGTGCCACTTTTTCCTCCCGTTTTTCTTATTTAGTAACTATGAGATGATCAACATAATCCACGAACATTAAAGTAGGTTTGAATATAGAAATAAAAGAGAGGTAATATGTATGCACCCCACGTATTCTTCAAGAGGCACATATATTCTTGATTTGAATTTGAATATTCAAATGAATAGGTTTTTATTAAGAAAGGTAATCAAAGAACAAAAATGAAGGAAATGGTTATTTAAGAACGAGTAAAAGTACAAATAAAACACATTAGTCGATCAGTGGAAACTTACTGGAAATCAAAACATTAGAGTATCAAAAGAAGAAGTCTAATCATCGAAGCCTTGAGTTTCATCAATCACAGTAAGTGAAGGGGCAAAGCGCACAATCAACTTCTTCCTCGATCCTTTGGCATTTGGGGTTTTGGAGTCGATCCCCTTGAAACGAACACGACGATTACATGATATAGGTTTAGGTTTGGGAAGCAACGAAGATTTGGTAGAAGGTGTATTCTCGTCTCGACAAATCAAACTATTAGGCATCTCATAATTGCTCGGATTTCTTGCTCGGCGACGGAGTTTTTTCACTGTCCGGAGAGGAACGAGAAAGTACTTTTGTCCAGGGACGAGAATCTCCTCCGGCGGAACAATGGAGTCCCACGGCTGCCGGAATATCTCTGGACGAGCCAAAACGAAGTTGGGATACTTGTCAATGATTGAAGACGCTGGGAATGCCATGTAGTGTCGTTCAACCACACCTCCGGCATGAATAATCTGCAAGATCAATGGCTTTTCTCCTACGACAATTCCCTCAAAGCTAGGGTTAGGTTTAGGGTTAGGGATGTTGGTACGGGAGCCGAATAATTTGAGTAGCATGTTATTATCGAGGGAAAAAAGGTTTAGGTTTTGGATGGTAGAAGAAAGAATTGGAGGTACGTAATGACTTATAGAAATCATGATCGATGAAATCGAAGAGATTTTGATTTGTGTTACCGTTTGAGTTTTGACGTAGATTCTAGCGGCAGCTACCTGCAAATTAGGATTAAGTGAAGATAACATCAATGTAGAATAAAAAGCAGGCACTGGGTGTCGATTGTCTTATTATTGGTTATTGTTGTCTCTACAGGAGGCACAACTAAAAACCGGCAAAAAATCACCATGCAGAAAATATGAAGAGAGAGAGAGAGAGAGAGAGAGAGAGAGAGAGAGAGAGAGAGAGAAAGCGGATAAGATGTAGTGATGAACCCTTACACATAATTTCACCTTCTGTATTTGCAAACTAAAACCCACATATAGGCTATTGAATAGAATTATGGGATAATAAAAAAATTACCAAATTGGAAGATGGTTGTAATAAATCGACTCAATAAAGGTGTCTATGGGATATCTAAAGGGTATAAAAAAAATGACAGACACGTGTTTTTTTAACAGCGAGTTATGAGTCGATTACAAATTTCATGTATCTAACCGGTCCTTTCTAAAATTAGCATAACCAAGTGTCACCGTAGTTTTCTATAAACAAGCCGAGTTTTTTTAATTGGCTTTCGGACTGGTCACAAATCAGGTAACTGGTCCAAATGCGATCAAAGGGCTTGTAGCTCAACAATAACAAGTGTTTGTGAAAAAGTGTCTCGTAACTGTTCAAGTCTCGTTTGAGACAAATGGAATAGCTTAGGAGTAACATAGAGATTTGCTTTTCTAAGAAAAAAAAAGGTTGATGCCTACCTACCACCTCTATATACTCCAGTATTTTCGTAGATCAAATTGCTTGTTTAAATGGGTACGGGGATTTAAGGAGGAGAAAACAGTTTTTGGTGCAAGGTAATCTGTGGCATTCATTATCTTGCAAGGAAGCCTATAACTTCCTTATATAAAAAATTGATTCATTGGTGCTGGCAAAATGTAATGAAAATTGTTGATGAGTCGGGAGAGATTGACATAAAATTTTCATCTATTTTTGAAGTCAAGGTGGGAAGAGGGAATGTTATGTTCTTCTGGTTCGACCAGTGGGCAGGGGACTTCATTTTTGCTTCTAAATTCCCTTGGCTGTTTTCTCTTGAACGGCGGAAGATTTTTTTCATCGAAGAGAGAATTTGTCCGGATATTGGAGGTTGGGCTTGGAAACGGCAACCAAATCACAAGGAGGAGCTTGATGAGCTAAATATGTTAAGAAGTATTTTGTCTAACCACACTCGATCTGGCGCGGATGATACTCTGAGAACAAAGCTTTCAAGTGACGGGAGGCTTTTAGCGAGTAGTGTTAGAAATCTAATTGACTCTTACGTCTCATGTCCCATGCAAATGGCACAATCTGGAATCACACGGTGCCTTTGAAAATTAATTGTTTCATATGGAGAGCTTGTATTGGTAGAATTCCCACTGCGTGTGCGCTATCCAGGCATGGGATCAACATCAATGACCTTTCATACAGCGACTGTGTGGGGGTGTCGATGAAGCCGAGCATATTCTTGTCAAGTGCCCGTTCGCTATTGATGTGCTTCGTTGGATTTGGAATTGGTGTGCCATTATTCCTCCTGCTTTTGACACCGTGGGAGATTATCACCTTTGCAACTAATTGGGGAAGTTGTCCTAAGAAAAAGCATGTAATCCTTTCCATTGTGTATGGTTGCTTTTGGTGCATTTGGAGGGCGATAAATGATTTGATTTTCAACAATATCTGATCTTCTTCATCTATGGTGGCTGATGATGTGATTTCTTTAGTTTTCAACTGGGTAAGGGTTAAGGGGAGATTCGGAAATTGTAATTGGATGAATTGGTGTTGTAATCCTTTATCAATTATGTAATTGTGTTTTTTGTTTTCTTTGTCTCTTAGGCTCTATCTAAGCAATGAGTTAATAGAATCTCACAGTTTCCAAAAAAAAAAAAAGATTGCTTGGTTTTAGTCCACTCTATCCTTTATCGGTTCGTAATCCATTGGATTTTCTACATAGAAGTATTGGTTAAAGTCAAAATAAGTTTCACACTTATTTTACAAAATCTTTTAAAGTTTGTTAAAAAAATGTCTGCATATTAGCCATTTTTGTCTTTTAGTGTTTTTTGAACAATTTGTTAACTAATAAGTATTACTTCTTTTACTTTTTTTAATCAGTAAAAATAACCGGACGATATAAGGATTTCCTGGTCTAATTAGATAAGACCCAATTAAGGATTGTTGGATTGAGCCCAAGATTAGATATGACCAGTTAAAGACCCGGTTGGGCATTCACCGTCTTCATTATCTTGTTCCAATATATCTTTGTTTATGACTTTGTTACAAGTTATATATATATATATATATATATATATAATATATATATATATATATATATATATATATATATATATATATATATATATATAGCCTTTAACAAGGATGTTAATCCTCTTTGGCAACATTTCGTATGAAAATTACTAAATGTATAAATGTTTGCTAAATGTTTTGTTAAGCTTTTTCTTGAAGCAACTAAGATTGCTAAGTGCACATATGTTCGAACTTCGAAGTGTTAGTTTCATAACATATTAAACAAATAAGGAAAACTATTACAAAAACTTGAGAACCCCTAAGAACATTTAATATAAGCATGCTATGGAAATATCATTTGACAAAATCCTTAAATTGTAATATCTCCTCTTCCCTAATTGCTAAATCTACTTAAATTGCCAAATTTTCAATGAACAATATGTTAAATTTCCATCTTGCAAAACACGTTTACACAGTTTCGAAATGTTACAAAAAAATAAATAAATAAATAAATAAAGTTCTCATAACGCGTAAGGCTATCCGGTATAAAAAGTAATTCACACTTGGGTTTCCTATGTGGCACACCAACCCACCGTTAAATACTGCCTCGGAGGCTGGTGGGTTGGGGGTAGAATGGGAAGACATGAGTTTCCATTTTACAGTGAACATCATTTTCACAACCTAGTGGGTTGGTTGTAAAATGTTAAAATACCCAGATGCCAAATGGTGTTGAGTTGGTTGATGGTTTGGTTGTGCCCTTTCAACTTCCATAAATTCACCCGTGATGCCGAAACCTCATACACCATATAATTTCTCAAAATTTTCACATTTTATTCCTATTTCAACTTTCTAATACATTCTACTACTCCTTTTCTCAATATTTTTGAGACCTTCCAAATGTGAAAGCACATTTGCAATTAAAAAAAAAACGGACCATTGCCACAAATCATATGCATATACGAGAGGACATACACAATAAAAAGCAAAATAGTCATCAAAATTCCATAATAACAAACAAATTTCTGTACCTTAATGATTAATATTAACCACGACCTCCTTATACAATTTACAAAATGATTTAGCTAAAATTCATTCAATATAACATAATAGCAGCAAATGCCAATGAACAAAAAAATGAACTTCCAACTTCATATTTCATATCAATATTGCATAAAATTTATACAAAATTTTAGTCGCTTTTGTAATTATATATCTTGATTAACCTTTTGCTGTCCCCTGAGTTATTCTGAAATGTCTTTTCCAAAAAGTAAAGCAATTCCTTTCGTGGGATCTTCTAGTTTCACAAGAGATTCCCCTACCAAGATCTAAAAAAGTGCATCAATTCATCAAATTCAATATCATTACACTTATTGATAGATGAACAATTTAGGGCACCAATTACATAATCAAATCACTTACAGCTTTAACACCCGCTTCTTGTACATACGCCACATCAGCAGGAGTGAACAATCCAGACTCCCCCACCACCTAACGAAATTCAAACATCAAAAATCTTTCATAAAAAAAAAAAATAATAAATAAATGGTTTCATATAATCTTACTATTATGCCTTTTTGGCGAATCTTTTCACCACGTTCACCTTCCAGTAATTTCTTTGTGTTACTGATATCAACCTCAAACGTTTCTACAAACATTCCATAACACTTGAAAAGGATATAAAGATTATGATATATGAAACCAAAAAAAAAAAAAAAAAAATTGATTACCAAGGTTACGATTATTGATACCAATTAATTGAATCCCATCGATTTCAAGCACACGATCCATTTCATTCTCATCATGCACCTTAAAAAACCCAAAACGATTTATTTAAAAACTCCGAATTGAAAATGATTTGAATAGACAAAAAACTTCAAACCTCCACAAGCACTGTCAATCCAATCATCTTACAAATCTTTGTCATATATTTGATGTCAAGATCTTGTAGAATAGCAGCGATTAACAGAACAGCATCAGCACCTTTTGCACGTGCATAATAGAGTTGCCATGCATCTACAATGAATTCTTTGCATAAAAGAGGACACTGTAGAATGAAGATAAATAATAATTAATCAATTAAATTGATATGATGTGTGAAAAGATAAGGAAAACTATACCTTTACTCCAGCATTACGTATAGCCTCTAGATTCTCAAAGCTTCCCTGAATTGACAAACAAAATTATTATATGATTAATTAAATTGAATAATCAATCAAAAAGATTGTACCTGAAAATATTTCGCATCTGTTAAAACACTCAGACACGCTGCTCCACCTTTCTCATAGGCTTTTGCAATTTCAACCTGTCACAACAAGATTTGTATATTCATTAATCAAATAATTACGTATATAGTGGTAATTACATCATGGAAGTGGCAACTTACAGGATCAAAATCTTCTCTTAGAACTCCTCTACTGGGTGAAGCCTTTTTCACTTCAGCAATTAAAGCAGGCATTCCTGTTTTTTCGGATGATGCCTTAAGAGCTCCTATAAAGTCTCTAGGAGGAGCAGCGATGTCAGTAGCTTTCTTCAGTGAACCCAGAGGCTTTTTCTCTCTCATCTGAAACTGATCCTTGTTAGGGAATGATAAGATAAATGTAGTATGAAAAACTGTGTATAAAGTGAAGAAAAAACCAGACCTGGGCAACCTCAGTGTCCTTGTTCCATACAATTTCCTCGAGTATGTTGCGGGGAGTATTGCCTTCGTTCTGTAACCTGAACTCAAAAGGACCAACATGATGTAATGGAGGCCCGGTTGGTGGTCGTCTTCTAATTTTTATCCCTTGTGTAGCAGCTATGTCGATTTGGGAATTTTTAACCTTTGATTCCTTAATATCGAGTGCATCGACTTTGGAATCATCCGATGCAATATTGATGGCAGATCCATCAGTAGCTTCAGACTACAAATCAGTAAAAAAAAAAAAAAAATGAAGTTCTACTATAATCAATCTGATGTTTCAAAGAATTTTGAAGTTTGGGTGTTGTGTGAAGGTCTATCAATCAGATTTCATTCTTTAATTAGGGCGCGAAATAGTTTAGGGCACGAATACATGGTCACCCATCCCCCGGATCATTACCCTCATGAAACAATGGCATTTGAGGTTAATTAACAGTAATAAGAAAATAGCGCAAGAAGTTGGAAAGATCGTAGATAATCTACCTGTTGAGCTCGCATACAAGGAAATGAGGCGATGTGTTTGTTCCTCAGGAACCTGAAAGTGAATCGAGTATTATCATAGAATGTGTGATTGACGGGTGAGGAAGGAAGGGAGTTAAAAGAAACCGAAGATGTTGCGCAAATTAACTCCTGCATATCTAAGAGCGTTGGATTTGCTGTAGTTTATAAAATGCGCACGGGGACGAGGGAGGACGCGGTGGCCGGAAGAGGCCGTTGCATTCTTCGGTTAGATAACCTTTTGAGTGCACCAAAATATCCAACACGAAATATTGATTGAAATATCATAATGTGAGATTTTTTTATTTTTTTATTATTTTTTATTTTTTACACTACAAATCTAACCTACTTTTAATACCATCTATGTTTCAGAAATTAAATCCGTGATTTCAAAAAGAAAGAACGACACTTGGTATCACTGGGTCAAATAAAAAACTATACAGTAAAATTTTCTTCAATAAAATATCTTCAAAAAAAATCATAATATTTTATGAAAAAATTTCAAACTAAAATTTATTTACGAAAAAACATAAATTACTGGTGAAAATGACGATTTGATATTTTTTTTCCGATTTATTGGTTTCATTACTTATCTAGTTCCATCAAACTCCCATTATTTTATTATAATATATGAATAAGTTCCAAACTAAAATTAAATGATGATTTGATATTTTTCTTCATGTAACATAAAATTTACCGGTTTGATTGTTGACATTGATGTTTAGTAATTAAATGAACTTATAAGATGGATATGATGGTTTATATAATACTATAATTACCATAAAATTTGATATCAATCTCATCGACTCATTTATGATTATATATCTTGATCAACAAATAAAACTGATAAAATGTATGTTTCCATGAAAAAGAGTGGGAAATGAGCTGATGAAATTGATATATTAGGTTATATAAGACTAGATAAGCGATTTGAAATTTCTTATAAGCTTAAGAAATAACGAAGTTGTTTCTAGTTTATGTAATTATTTTAGTCTTTGTTGGATGCATTTTATATTTCAAAAAATATATAGTACGCCAGGATTTCAAGTTTTATGGTAAGCATAATATTATATAACCCTACATATCCATCTAATCAGTTCATTTAATGACAAGACGTCCAATTCAGAAATAAAATCAGTAATATGTATGTTACAGTAAGAAAATTGTCAAAATCATCACTTAACTTTAGTTGGAGACTTATTCGTAAATTATGATAATATAATGAGATTTTAATGAAACCGGATAAATAATGAAACCGGTAAAGT